TCCTCTATTGTTTTACCCAGAGAGGCTCTGATTACTCGCGAGTGTGTTATCGGATATGTCGACAGATAGATTCAAACTTCAAATGGTATATTTCGAAATTCAAGCGTCTATACTGACTGCACTAACACCCGCCAACAATGTTAGTGAAATATTTAATATGCTACAGTTTCATAATAAAAGCGACACAATCCTTTCCATATTCAAAAGAAAATCTCTGCTAAAAGCATTCCGACTGTATCGTGAGCATGTGTTTATAAATCACTATCAAATAGTGATGGTATCGGGCGTTCGTGAAACGTTAATTCCATGTAAGTGGAAAATAATACAACACAATCGTCTTGCCTCCTACCATCCCAGATAATATTTCCACCGGGCCTCTTTCAAGGATGTTCTTTTAAACACATACATGCGTATCTAAAGAAAGAAGTCTGTGTATTGCTTTAATAATAAATATTGCATATATTTAAGGCAAAGCATTAAACTGACACTTTTGCTTCGTACACGTGTCACAAAATGAACCCGTTAGACCACTTCAGGAATTTATTTATGAAATTGCGAAATGTCTGCGTCCAACGGGTCGATGCGTATGTGAACCAACTATTTAATTATCTGTTTTAAAACATTGAAATGTTTCTAACACTGACGAGAGGTATAATAAGTGAATAGTTAGAAGGGGCACTACTTATCAGAACGAATCACTGAAATCAGTGAGTGAGTTGGGTTTCTATAATCTCTAGCTTCTTCTCGGCAGTCTGACATTGGCCGCTTGCTCACACTAGCTGCCGTGAGTCGATTTTTGCTCGCAAACACAACTGAGCATGACAAGAGACTGGGCTACCGTCTGCAAGGACAGCTAAATAAACTTGGAGGCAATATTTGTTTTACGCATTTTTCAACACTGATTGGTTACCCATGATCTATGAAGATTTGGACAAAGGGCGCATGTTAATAAATTTCTTCAGCCTAAACAAACAGACAAAAAGAACGACATAAGCTCATCGGATGTCGTTATTTGGAAATACCCCTGGTGGTTATAGTTTATAATAAGAAAAGTATCCCTGCAGTGAAAGCATTTTCGGATTTCGGATTGCGTGGGTAAACTACTCCCTAGTTGTCATCCATGTTTTCTGGTATAACCCTACACTTGTGTATTTGTCGTCATTCAATTGATGCTTAGTTAATTTATTACAGGTATAATTACTGGAGGCACCACTGAGATTACCTGATAAAGGTTCCCATTAGGCATTTCGTGTGTGTGGGGTATTTATTCAATTCAAATACAGGTTTAAACCGAATCCCGGTTTGAAGTGAGGTGAAATGAATGTCATATAATATGCACGTTTCAGCCCAGCAAGAGGAGTGATCACCATCATTCCTCGCCATCAAAGGATCAGCAGAAATTACGTTGATTGAATAATCACTGTTATTTTGCACGGTGGATTTGTCAAAAGTAAGCGTTTACATGTGTATGTTTACTAAAGCAGACGGAATACCCCAATATCTGGGCGTGAAGTGCCGATGTGAAAACAACATACTTTGTTCAAAGCCGATATAACGTTGATTGATTGCTCATTGTTATCTAACTCAATGGATTTTTTTATAGAACCGTGGACATTATGAAAACAGTTGTCACGTGGGCTTTCTCAGCTGTCCTTTGAGACTTGACACCTGTGTGAAACAACTGAAACAAACTAAGTGATCAGTTGAGAAACCAAATACGGGTTATAATATCCCGAAACGATAAATATATTTGAAATATTTGATTGTTACAGAGACACGTGACATCCAATAAGTTTCTTTGTACAGCTGCAGATGTGTGGAATATTGTTCCTTTATGTGAATATTTACGGTTGCATTCCTCGAACAAGGCAGCTGACTAAAAATATACATATAACTTTGGTAGGTTGTAATTATGATATTTGCATTTTGTTTTCATTCATTTGCTGTAGCATTGAACAGAATCATTCTTGTTCCTCTACGTCTTGGTTGAGAAGTTCTTCGATGCGCGATAGACGTTGTTTTTCACAAGTCTTTTCCTTTGTATGCATGTATATGTTACAGTCAATGTGTAAAATATGAAAAATCTGTTCATTTATTTTACAGATTGACTAAAAATGACTAAGACTGTCAAAAGGGCTTAAAAACATCACAATAGATTAATTATGCTGGGATTAGAATCCAAACAATATAGAAATGTACTTTTAATATCCTTACATTTTCTGTCACTTGTTGATGATATTAAACATAAAAATGTTTGGATTTCGTCATCATAATAATATAGATGGGCATATTTTTCAGTCAATTTGTGAAATAACTGAACATTTAGGCGTTTAATAAATTTCCTAAGTGAAACGTTTGCACATTTTGACTGTAAAAAAATAAACACCATAAAATAAGCAATGGGCAGGTGAAATATTTTCTTTGTGTTGCAAGTCAAAATAGTGTAAACGAAAATCACACAATTACCAAGCAAGTGACTTTCAAAACACCGTCACCATTAATGATGCTACCCACAAAGATACCTACATTTCCTTATTATTTCCCAAACTGTATTTCATTTTGTTGATAAATGTGACCATACGCCCTTATACTGTCAATAAAGGTGACAACTGCGCTTACAAATGGCACAGCACAGGCCGCGAACTAGTCTAGATCTCTGCTATATCATCCGGGTACTCACGGGGGAAAACAATAACAAAGGCAACAACTCTCGGGGAATTGCATTAGGTAATTGCCCATTTAACAGTATTCAAGTTATATCACGGCGTGTCAGCTAAATGTGGGAGGAAAGCCCAAAGTGATGCAGGTCTCAGACGTTTACCATTTCGGTGAACCCCACGAGCACGGGTATGGTGCTGACAAACCTAGAAACTTAATTGGGGCGAACAGGGTTTCGAACCCACAATCATAGGTTTCTGGCGTGCCCAAGGGACGCAACTATGCACAGCGAATCGCAACGCCTAAGACGACTGGGCCACCCGTGCCCCCCACTGAAATCAAAATCGGGGCACCATGTTATAAATCCTGAAGACGCTCAAATAGCAGTTCATGGAAGATTTACATTCTCTCTTCAATTCTAAGAAATGTACTTGAAAAAAAAAATTGATTAAAATTTCCCAATCAAATCTAGTTATAATCAGCCTGATAAGTCTATGTAAATACATACATGTATATTCTAGTGTCTTCCTCTAAAACACGAAACCAGCTCTTCCCTAAGTTTATTTCAGAAGCTTCGTATAAAGTTGTGTTATTTCAATGTGGTAACTGTACATGTATGTCTTTGACTTGCAAATACCTGACTTGCATTTGCATGTGTTTGTGGTGGATACGCTCTAACCTGATTCATGAGTATGATTCATTAACACATGCTTATGATATAGTCGGAATGGAATGGAAAAGAAGTAAATTATGGAAATGGTTTTGTTTATTTTGTTTCCAATAAAAAGCGTATTCTTTTACAATGTTAATAGTCGTCCACACATCAAGAACAAGTCACTGTGTAATACAAATACCTAACGACGTAATATTTGTGAAGGACTTGTTTACCATAGGAAATCTTTAATAACCAAACGATTTTGTCCAGACTATTTCACATTATATTCAGAATGAAACTTATCACAAAACATTATGGGATACTAGACATGCACAAAACATTAGTTGGTTATGAGGTTTCCTGACGGTCATTTTGGCCGACACATGATAGTGTTTGATTCTGTTCTATCTTATTTGTTGCCGTGAAAATCACTTCAGCTAATGTGTGTACGAGTATTTGTGATTGGAGTCATGACCACAAGATCACCTTACTTTTGCAGTCTAAATAAAGTATAGATATCGGTATTGGTAAAAGGAAAAGAAGCTTTACACTATGATCTTAAATAATGCAGAGTAGCATGCCATGGAAAACGTAACTCAAAATCAGTCAAGGAAAAAAGTAATACAATATATTGTACCGTACATTTAGCACAACTGTCACAAGATAGCGTGACTATTCTGTCTCGAAAGTGTTGCGATAGTGGCGTGAAAGTGGCTCGAAAGTGGCGCAATAGTTTCGCGTTAATGGCTCAAAGGTGGCGCGATAATTCCGCGTTAGTGCCGCAATAGTGGCCAGAAAATTTCACGAAATTTTCGCAAAGTAGGGGAAGTTACTTATGAAATGTAGTGTACCTGTGAAACTCATCATTGTGGCAGACAGTTTAACTTGTTGGTGGAAGATAGTGAATACAGAATAGTCTCTTCACCCAGAGATATTTCAGTGGATAACAATGATATGGGACACACCTCATCTGGACTTTTTCACCACATGTCTCAACAAGATACTCCCAGTGTATGAGAAAATGCTGGATAAGGTTAATACGAAAGCAACAATGACAGGCTGGTTAAAAACAGCGATCTCATGCAGAACTCCAGTGCCAAGTACCTGTAATGCATATGATAGCATGGCACTGTGAGCCAGTCTTGCAGTGTGGAAAACAGTGTCAGTTGAGCAAGTGACTTCTATGGCTTATCAGTTGAAGTCTCAAAACACATTCACATAACTTCTATCTTTGGGACATACAGCCAGACCTTTTGAGGTTATTTGGGTCAATGCATTTTGATCCAAGTAACTAGAACAATGTCGTTTGGAACTATTAGGTACCCCAAAAGTTCTGAACATGAAAGGAAAGAGGACCAAAATTGAAATCATGAAAGTTTGAGGTAAACATCACATTTAGTACTTGTGACACTACTCATCATGGACAGTTGATAGTGAAGAGGATTTCTGTTGAAAAACCTAAGATGCTATTGTGTCGCAACGCATCGTCATTTTTGTATAAAAAAATTCCCTCTGTAGTAGCAGTATAGGTATATAAATCTGGCTCCAGTGGAAGTGAGCCAGAATCACCATTACCTACACTACTGGTGACAGCCAAAATACGGGATTTATAACAGTGATGTAATAGAGGTAGTATTCTTTGAATCATTAACAATAATAACTATTGTTTGATGTTTAATCATTGCAGATTTTGGAAGAAAGCTGGGTTTTCAATGGTTTACCTAAGACAAACAGCGGTAAGTAATAGTCACTGTGATAGTCATAGCTTGTTGACTGTTGAAAACTATATAATTAATTAGGATGAAACTGTTGTATTAGTAATCATAAGTAGAGATACATTGTATAGCAACATATGTCAAACAACAGATGTAGACTACCTGTACTTGTATTTGCCTCCGTCTCAAGGGTTGTACCCTGTGGGGATTGTAGGTAACAACAGGTCCCAAGCAACCTGTGCTGGTCTTAACCCTCTGGATGCCGATTTTTTTTTTCTTACTCACATTTTCCTAAGAGTGGAAAAAGTTGTGTGAGAAATGTGCTCACGCGGCACTTGGATCTATCTGTGGCTATAAAATGACACAGAGTTGGAGAATATTAAATTTCCTATTTGATGGTGTAAATAACTGCAAATATTAAACTGGTTTTAAAAAATGACACTTCTAAGTGTTGTCTGAGAATTTATTCTGTGTTGAAAAACAGTAAATTTCTCTGCTTTTTATCGTGCACCAATAAAAATACTGTGCGACAATTTTTTTTTATTTAGAAGCCCATACGGAAACTGTGAGCGAACAAAATACTGCCTAATATCTGAATGGCATAACTACATGCATTCAATGCCAAAATTAGCATGCCGTAAATGACGAAAACTGATTTTTCTCCATGACGTGAAAAGGCGACAGAGAGGTTACACATGTACAAAGAAAATGGGGCATAACTCCGCTATGCATAGCACTAGTTTATTTTAACTCAGGTCACTTGGTGAGAATTAGCTGTGGGTAAGAACAATATATTTTTGTGGTGTTTTGGAACCAAACTATTCCAACACAAATATCGATATTGAAACTGTACACATTTAGTTATAAAAAAAAGCCCATAAGAAATGATGGAATCGTACTCCATTAAAAAGAGGTCATAGAGAAATGGATTGCCCTATCTAACGTATAACATAGTCCTTAGATTCCAACATTCTCCTGATTGTGCAAGTGTAATTTGACTGATGTTGCACCATTATTAAAGGAGCATTAGCCTTATCATCAAATGTAAGGAAATGCCAAAAAAATACCATTCCTTTTGACGTCATGGCCGGTTTTATGTCTTTGATAACGTCGGCGAAAGACAACACTGGTATTTTGATTAATATATATATCTCCCCTAGTTTTCGTTCATGGCATAGAAAATCTCGATGTGTAAAACGGAATTTGAAGCTTTTTCGACACAACATAAAATGACTGCTTTCACCAAGTAAATAATGTCTTGAATATGTAAACAATTAGATAGTTTATCATGTATCTTAATTGGACAAGACACGTTTGGCATCAATGTAAGTTATGAAATACCCAAAAGAATATTTCAAAACAACCAAAATTAAATTCAATATTGGGCACATATTTGTTATTATGATGTTATTATTTCTCTTCATCTCATCTCAGAATTACACAATAAAAGATGCGAAGAAAGCTCTATTGGTATAGAATTATTAGGATAATCGTATAAGGTTGAACCAACGGGGTACCCGGCATGAGTTTTGTTTTTATACTTTTTACAATTCCTGGAGAAATAAAGTAAACAGTTTAATATCCTGTGATCACAATATTTTGAAAAAAGAATTAACCCAATGATATAATGAAAAACGAGAGGAATAATTTGTAAATTGTTTGTGACTAACGTGCACCTGGCGAATCGTCGGATATCACTGTTCTGTGTATCAAACGACATAAAAAACAATTCCAAGACCAAGACAATTCTTTCAGAAATGTGTGCAAATATTTTAATGAAAAATATTATCCATTTTGTTAAAGTAATTTATTCATACATGTTGTCGCCTATATTTATGTTTGATATCATATTGAACATTGACAAATATCCAAAGTGAAATTAATTGCGTGAAAAAATGTATGAAAGAAAAGCAAAATCTACATCATAACTGAAACTGTAAACAGCATGATACAATGATCATGTGCACTCTCATTTAAGGACCTTCACCACAAAGAAATTACCAAATATGTACAACGTTGACGTATGACATCACTACTGGTGACCAACTTTTACAAAATGTCGTGTTCACTGTCAACAGTACGCGGGATTTTACGAGGGGACTTTCGTTGATTCAGGGATCGTATATACATAAATGTGACATGTTAGTAATCAGAAACATTCTGACAATCCATGTACTGTTATTTGTTGTTATAATTTTCATTGGAACCAACGTAAATAGTCAGAAATCCCGATAAATACCCTTGTGGTTTGCATGATTTCTATTGAAAATATCAAATAATTGCAACGTATCTATTTTAAATTCCCTAATTCTTCCAACAATTCTCTTCCCATGCATATTCTGAAAATGTTGAGCCAAGATCTTGAATGAAAAGATGAATGGATAGCTCAGAATCGGAGAAAATGCAACACTTTGTAAAATCTGAAGTTTGCTTTGTTTACATTTCATACAAGTGCAGTTTTTCAACCACAGCTTTCCTTTTCACACCTAACTTATTTTGCTTGATTCATTGAGCCACTTTATATATGTGACAAAGACCATTGGTCATTTGATTCTAAAATGTATGAGGAATTCAAGGATGTATGTATCTCAGCTGAGTTTGAAATATACGTCTCATAACCGGTCTACGTGAAACGTGATTATGTAAACACTATCCAATATGGATATTTTGATGTATTTTGAACTTTATTCGACTTCAAACTGAGGGTTGTAGAAGAGGGACATATATGTCCCTGTGGCATCCAGGGGGTTAAAAGGAGACCAATTGGATTGGGTGGTCAGGATTGGTGACTTGGTTCATAACATGTCATGGATCATTGTTCACAATATGGACAAGAATCAATTATATTATTTACAGCCTGCCATCATATGGCTGGAATTTTGCTGAACCTAGCATTAAAAAACAAAGAATCTCAAAGTTTGTGGAAAACTTCCACTATCCAATGAAACTGTCCAAATTACTCCTCCAAATTCACAGCTCCTTGTCTGATTTTCTTGTTCACCTGACTGAAAGTCACTTGAGTTTCATATGTCGAAGCCTGAATGTCCTGTATCAGGATCAGCCTCTGTAAAAACAATCTCTTTAAAATTACTGGAAACAGGAACTTCACATGCTTGTTTCCACCAATGTTGACAACCAAATAAAATACAAGGTAATTTGGTATATGTGTAGTTAGTTGTGGGGTTCATTTTGACCTTCATTTGACCTTTGCATTTTGACTATACTCCTAAATTCTTTCAAAATGTATTTCTTCTGACAGGGGAACACATGTTCACAATAATGAAGGTGTTGATGGTTTCTGAGTGAACTGACAGGGGAACACTTGTTCACAATAATGAAGATGTTGATGGTTTCTGAGTGAACTGACAGGGGAACACTTGTTCACAATAATGAAGGTGTTGATGGTTTCTGAGTGAACTGACAGGGGAACACTTGTTCACAATAATGAAGGTGTTGATGGTTTCTGAGTGAACTGACAGGGGAACACTTGTTCACAATAATGAAGGTGTTGATGGTTTCAGAACGACCTGACTGGGGAACACTCATGCATCATGCTGAAGGTGCTAGCAGAGGATATAGATGGCACAGGAAGGAGGGATACAACCTGGCTTCCTGCATTCAGGAAAGGTATTATTTTGTGAATATGATGCATGACATTGCAGTCATCACTGTGGTATTGTTAGTAGTCCTGTGGCCCATGCCATGAAACAGGACAGCTTTAATAAAAATTATGGATTTTGTCAGAATCTTGTGATTGCCATGGCATGCTGATATATCACAGTCTGAACATGTATGTTCCGTCTTTTGCTATAGTTTAAAGTTTTACCTTAACCTTTAGCCTGCTGAATTGTTTTCACACTTCTTAGCCCTTCCAGCTGGATTAATTTTAGCGTAAGTCGTGGTAAAGAGGGTGGTGATTTCAAACAGTCGTTGCTTCATTAAACATGGGGCATTTGAACCAATATTTTGCACATTATATAACTGATAGAAAATTACACATTGCCATATAAAAATATCCTGACATTTTCAAACATACAGAAGTTAAGACAAAAGTTGACATATGTTCTTGAACTTACCTGAAATACGTTATTGAAGGTGAGATGCTTTCATATTAGGAACCTGTTTTAATTGTTAGACTTGTGCATATTGATTTTAATAATCACATCTCAGATATTTTGATTTTAACTGAGTATAAATGCGTATTTTGTACATTACGTGGATCAATTCTCATGATGTCAATCACTGAATTGTCTGGTCCAGACTCAATTATTTTCATATCGCCATCATATAGCTTGAATATTGCTGAGTGCGGCATTAAAAAAAACAAGAAGAATGAAGTCACTGAGCATAATCACCATGAGCAAGAGGAAGAAGAAGAATTCTTTGTAGGAACCATCACTTACCTTGGGAGATTGATGTAGGGGTTTGTGGCAACCAGGTGACATTTAAATTGCTTTCAGGCACTGAAACTACGGTTTTGCCAGAAAGGGTATTCAACCAACTGGAGTGCCAACCACAGTTTAGGCCACCATGATGGATCCTGATTGGGCCAGCTATGACTTTGGTTAACTTGGGATAGTTCACAACTGAAACCATTTTGCATGGAACTACTTTCAGTTTTATTTTTGTGTGATGAGCAATCTCCAGCACAAACAAAGTCTTCTTGGTCGGAGATGGGACTAATAAAGCGACTAGATGTGAACTCTATTGAAGAAATAGACAAGGATGTATTCGGCAATGATGGATTGCTACAGTGTGAACCTGTGGAAATCAAGCTCAAAGCAGGAGCTACGTATACAGTATCAACACTACATGGTACGACAAACGACCGTTCAAGGTCTCCTCCATCCTTACCATCGCCTTCATCAACCTTATTGTCTTCGGCGTCGCCCGTAACATGTTCTCTATCACCCCTGCCATCCATTTTGACAACCTTGACTACTCCGGCGCCTGCGACATCTCTGACATCTCCAGACTACCCCGGCGCCTTGGTTTGATGCAGCGCTTTGGATTGATGCGGTGCCTCCGGTGCCTTGGACATGTACGGCACCTCAGGCGCCATTAGACTTGTACAGCACCTCCTACTTTTGGTCATGTACTTCCGGCTCCGTTTATGGATCCAGCTTGGATGCAAGCCTGGATACAGTCCTTACTTACGCAAGCTACTCCCGCCTCAACGGTGCCGACAGTGCCTCCTGCGACGCTGGCGCCACTGACGGCCCTGACTACAGACACTCCGATTCCTACGCCCCATCTACTTCGGGCGCTCATGGGTCTTGATCGTCGTATACCTCGTAGCCTCCGACTGCCTCTTGACACTCTTCAAAGTCCTCTGGATCCCGTCGTTGTTCTTAAAGTTGCTCACCCATACATTGACGTCGGCGTCGTTCCTCTCGCTCGGCTTCATCAGAGGGATCATTTCGACCCAGTTATGATCCTCCATCTCCCGAGATTGATACACACTTGGGCCCATCACAGGTAGCTGATTCGCTTGAGGACCGTTTGGCCTCTGTCGCTCCCTCCCCAAGCCCCGATGTCAACAAATAATCTATGATTTGGTCTAACCCGACTTAACTACCACCCGACCCAATGCTGACAGACCTTACAGCGTTGGACGAGGACTTCGCTAGGTTGTCCCTCACGCCGTCGTTCAAGGCTCCCGGCTTCCAGCGTGATGATTTCCCTGTCCACTCCTTCGATGGGGCTGACGGTGCGCACATCCTAGATGAGGACCTACATCGCATGACCTGGTCATCCCAATCCGCCACCATCCCTATGCCGGACTCCGGACTCGCCCTCTTGGAAACGGAACTGCAGTGTTCGTTAAAACCACTGTCATCACCTGCCTTCACTGCCAGAGCCATTGAGCAAGATCTCTCGGAGTCCAATGCTAATAGGATCGACCACCTACGGACTGTTATGAACTTTCAACTTCGCCAGGTCAACCATTTGCGAAATCATCCGAGAGCCGCTCTGGTGGAGATCACGGCTACACAACGTTTAGGTTACTTGACATTCACGGAATGGTTCAAGTGTTCCTTACTATGCCAACCATTGTCGGATCCTACCCTTTTTAATGGTGCCATCACCGCTACACATGGGTCTCCAGCTTTGTGAGGGACAAAACGGCTCTCAGAGGCTTGGAGCATGTCTTGCCACGCAGCAGTCAGCGACCAAATCCTCCAGAAACAACTACAAACCTCGCCGCTCCTCTCTCAAGGACACCTCCAAACATACCTTGCCCTTTTGCGTCCAGAAAGGGCGTTGTCGTGGTAAATCTCAGAGACAAGGCCGGTTTTGGAGAAACTGATCTATACTGGAGGACCCGTTCGTCACAAACACCCTCCGTCAGGGGAACCAGCTCCCGTTGGCACTACATCCTCCCCTGACATCCACTCAGACAGCAGATGTGTATTCGCCACACCAATATCAGCTCCCTTACGACAGCATCGGCACCCTGCTTCGGAAGGAGGCCATAGAGGTTGTGCATGACCCGGCTCGGAATCCAGGATTTTACTCCCGGGTGTTTCTGGTTCCCAAGAAGGGAACCACCAAATTGGGCATAATCCACAACCTCTCTACTTTCAACTGGCGCTACCTGGTACGTCTTCCTTACTTCCGAATGACAACGTTGAGACTGCTCAGGACAAGAATCAAAGCAGGCGATTCCCCGATCAGCCTCGACATCCAGGATGCCTATTTTCATGTGCCCATCCACTTCCTCAGGTTCCTTTTCAATGGTACTCATTACCAGTGGGCGGTCCTACCATTAGGAATTTCCACGGCCCCTTGGCTTTTCACACGGATCACCAAACCTGTTGCCGCCTATCTACACCTGAGGAACAACAACTTCGATCCACACATGGACGACTCAACAACCGGTACTTGAAGTTGCTGCTTCGCCACAGGGATTTTACCCTGTGGCTCTTCGATCAGTTGGGATGGATTGTCAATCAGACGAAGTCGGAGCTGACCCCATCGTTCCGTCTGCAGTTCATCGGGACCCTGTTTGTCATTGACCAAGACCTCCTTCAAGTCCCCAGGGGCAAGTGTGTTTTTTTTTTAAAAATCCTCGCTCACCTCTACCCTGCCCTCCAGCAGGCTCGAACTCTCCACCAATGGCAGATTCTCCTGGGCCTCAGATCGGCTCAAGACCTTACTGCAAGAGGTCGCCTCCAACGTCCCATTCAACGGTTTCTCGCTCCCTTCATTCGACAGCAGGATCCGGAGTCCCTCATCCTCCCGGTTCACCTACACCCCTTCCTCCGATGGTGGACGGTGGAATCGAATGCCTGCGGTCGCGTCTCCTTGACCATGTTCAGCCCACCCTCCACCTGTTCGTCAACACATCCTAACAGTGTTGGGGGGCTCACTTGGGGACTCAAATGGTTGAGGGCTGCGGTCCGGAGATCGACTCCACTGGCACAGCAACAACCTCGAACTCGAAGCTCTCATCCTGGCCGTCTCCCACTGGCAGAGCATTCTCTGTCACGCCCAGTTGACCATCTCCACGGACAGATGCTCTGTCCAGGCCGGACAAGGGGGCTCCCTTTGAATGGAAGCTCCACCCAGAGATTTTAACTGTCCTTTGTCAAACGTTCGACACCCGAAACATCGATCTGTTCATCTCAAAATTGCAAGCTGTCCCGGATCCGGCCGCTGTAGCAGTCGACGCCGTCAGTGTTCCCTTGGAGGGATTTAGCGTGTACCCTTTTCAGCCACCAGTTCTCCTTCCCAGGGTTCTTCAAAAGATCCAGGCCACTCAGCCCCTGACACTGATTTTGGTCGCTCCTTGGTAGCCAGCCAGAAGTTGGTTTGTCGACCTCCGTAACATCGCCAGAAACAACCCCCTGGAACTTCCGGCGTGGCCCAACCCTCTGCTCCACCAACACAGTCGGTTGCCACACCCAAGTTCCATTCCGTTTCGTCTGCATGCCTTGCAAAAGAAAGCCCTAGGAACCAAGGGCTATTCGACCAGAACGGCCAAGGCTATTGCTTCTGCCCATCCTCCATCACGTATGACTGTATGATGATAAATGGTCCTCATTCCAGGCATTCTGCTCTGACAGGACCCGATGACAGCGTCACCCCAGTTCCTGGCTGAGGTTCTTCTGTACTTGCGCAGCACACGTCGATTAAAAGGCTCTATCATCTCCATGTACTTGGTCGCCATCAATTCTGTTCTTGCCATCCCGGACGACCGGAGAATGCCGAAAATTCCCAAACCTCAAGACCAGAAAGCCAAGTTCAGACCGCCTGCGTCGGATCTGAATGTGGCCTTAAAGGCTTTTCAGGAGGCTCCCTTCGAACCACTCCACTCATCTTCCTTTTATGACCTAATGAAGAAGATGGTGTTTCTACTGGCCCTGGCTACTGATGCCTGGGTTAGTGAGCTCCACGCCCTCGATTTCTCCTGTGTCCGGTTCGTACGCAGGACTCAGGGCGCTGTTCATCTTGGGCTGTGCTGGGACTTTATCACAAAGAATCAACTCCCTGGACAGCCTGATAGATCATTCACCACCCTCCTTTCGTCGATTGTGGGTGCCGACAATGAGGAGCTTTTATTATGCCCCGTTAGGGGACTGAAGGTTTTCCTGCGACGATCTAAAGCCTGTCTCAAGTCTAGGAAACACCTGTTCCTGCCGGTCTTCCCTTTATCGCAGTCGGAGGTCAGCCGGAATACTATCTCCCTGTGGCTCAGGGCGGTCATTCACCAAGCTTATAAAGTGGACCCCCCAAGGCTAACAACCCACACAAAATTCGGGCGGTCGCATCTACCATGGCTCTTCACAGTAACTGTTCCCTCAAATCGATCATGGAAGGCGATTCGACACCGTCTTTGCCAGTCACTTACCTTCGTGATGTAGCCTTGGAAGATATTGCCGGCATACATAGCTTTGGTCCCCTGGTGGTAGCCCAACAGGTCACCCACCCCTGACGCCACTGATTCTCCGTTACCCTGAGCGGGGCAAGTTCGACCTCTCTGGTGTTTATCACCCCAGATTAGAGGGCTCTACTGCGTTCCGCATTCGCTCTTATGTCAGTTCTAGTTTCCCCGCCTCATTCTATTTCTGTCACCTATTTAGGGTTCCCTCTTTTGCATCGACTCTCGTTTCCTTCGACAGGAATGGTAGCTGATGTTCTGGTCATCTCTTGACTGCGGTGCGGTTTCACCAGACCTGGACGAGGGTTTCTTATGGCTCACAGCTGAAGGTATGCCCACCGTCCGTGCCGTCTGCAATACGGAGTAATGCAGGATAAGTTAATAAATTTTTTACATTTGTATACTTACCCTGCATTACGAAGTCTAAGTGCCCCCCCCCACTTCACTCCGCTGCCTCCCCACGAAGTTTCTGATGTTATGTTGAAAGTAGTTATGTGTTTTGACGTGACGTCAGGACTTCCGGGTCACATGCCGACTGTGTGGGGGCGCTGCTTCATGGACAGATGGAAACAACTTTCTTCAGCAGCTGGATCTCACACAGTTCGTCTCTCCTGTCAAAGACAGCAGTAAATGCAATACAGAGTATTGCAGGATAAGAATACAAATGTAAAAAATATTTAGATTTTCCTAATTTTGCCTTCCTTTGATGACATCATTCCTCAATTATCAAGAGTTGAAGTGTTCTCAAAGCTTGATGCCTGTCATGGGTTTCATCAGATTCCGCTTTACCTCAAACATTTATTTGTTCACTACATTCAAAACGCCACTAGGACGTTTCTGTTTCAAACCGCATTCCATTTGGAATAACATCTGCTGCGGAAATATTTCAGCGCAGGATGACAGAGGTTATGAAGGGTGAGGCTATTGTTGATGACATTTTGATATTGGGTCCATCAGACGAAGAGTTCAACTTAAGACTGAAGCAAGTGTTCAAGCTAGTGAGGACATCAGGACTCAAGTTGAACAAGTCAAAGTGTGAAATCAGGAAGAAATCTCTTCTCTCACATGTTTCGGACCAAGATCAGTGACAAAGGGGTAGAGCCTGATCCAAAATCGAAAGTGATGTCGTTCAACTGCTACTGCTTATAACTGGCAGATTATTTGAGTGCATTAATGGAAAGTTGGGTATGGTGCTGCTTTTGTAGTTGTATGTAATACAAACACCTATCTAGTTCATCGCCAGTTACTGTTGCACAATTGATTTTATTTGTTTGGTCTTAAGAGGTATAGAAGTAATGTTTTCCAGTTTGAAGAACATCATATGGACAGAAGCTTTGAGAAAGTTTGAGGAAATGGCAGCAAAGGGTCTGCTCTTTTTTTTGCATCTACTTGCAAATACCTTTAGTTTTCTCAGTCATAGATGTATATATACAGGCAAACACCGTAGTGTCAAACTTACGATTGTCTCGAAGTAAACGCTTGGTCGCTGGGTATTCCTTCTTTAGTCATCATTTTCAGTTGTGTCGAAGCTCGGATAACTCGAAGCATTCATATAGATTCCTTCAATGTCAACACAACAGTGTTTGACTGTATTCTGAAATTCCAGACTACTATGATCACAAGCCTGAAAGTTATTAGAATGATATGAAATTAAAGCCTTACAATGTTTGTGTACTGCATTTTATTGTGAGGTTCCATGACTTGTTTGTAATTGTTTTTCAGATTTCCAACGTCGATTTGTGTCACTTTTGTCATATCAGTTCCGCACGTTTCACCCATCCCTTGCCCTCAACATCCTCAGTGAAAAGGGAGCCAAAATGGAATCAGGTCAGCCATGTTGTTCATGTTATTGATTGTTACCCCGAACTTGGCAACAAAATGTCAATGTTTTTAAGTGAATTAGCAATGTTGTCAAATACAAATGACACTTTTCAACTGATAGATGACATTACAGTTAGTTCATTGGACAATAGCATGATGTTATTGAACAGATAGGTGTCAGTGTCAAAGTTGAGCTCCATGGCCAAAGTGTTTTTCTCAACCACTTATGTAATACAGATGTTAGAGACATCATACATTTATATACTGCACTTATCCAGATGTCTCTGCTGAAATTTGGTTCATATTTGTTCCCTGATCAGTGGATCTACATGCATTCCAGTTATTCTCAACTCCCTGGGGAATATACAACCCAAGCTGTCTACAGGCACTACAATGTTTTTCATCCACCTTGTATGTCACATACCCATTCACTGCTGGGTGAAGAGAAGCAGATTGGAACTGAGTTACTTGTCCAGGGTGATGCCACACGATTTGACACTTGTGTTTTTGGTGTATGTACATATTCGTGTTTCCACCAACTGGTCATATGCCATATGTTATGGGATGAATGGGCTAGTTTAAGTGCCTAGGGTGAATGTACTGAACACTAGATGTAGTGACAACACAGTAAAAAGACCTGTAAACATTGTTGAAACATTGGCAGAATAACAATCTGGTCACTAGCAGGCTACAATCCAGCACCTGACACTTTAAACTGCTTGCCCATTCTGCCCCATCATGTACCTATTCCCCTGGGGAATTTGTCTGACATAGTATTTGATGAAATTGAAGGTCAAGGTGACAAGGTCTGAACCAGACATCAAAAGAGGCCACCAGAAGTCACATTATAAAACATTCATTCATCAAATATCTATGCATTTGTGAATCTATAAATGATCTATAAATAGTTTCATTCATAAAGTATTGTCAGTGTGATATGGAGACTTCATGTTTGTAACACCACCTAAGTTTATCATAATAACCCCAGGATTTTATTATACCCCTGTTTACCAAGTAAATCGGAGGTATATAGCGTTCCGTTCGTTCGTCCGTCTGTCCTTATGTCCGAGCTTTTGTACGGCCCATAACTTTTTAACCATGCACCCTAGCTTCACCAAACTTTCTACACACATTAACCACAATGAGTACTTGTGCCTTTGGCTAGTTTGAAGATTCTGAATTTTTTAAATTTTGCTGTCATGGAATCATGGTGAAACATAAATTTTGGGTTGAGTTTTTGTACTATCCATGTTTACAATATTATGTATCCTAGCTTCAGCAGACTTGCTACATTAACCACTATGATTGGTTTTTTTTAACTTTTATAAGATTCTGAAAGTTTTCTCTTTTGCTGTTTTCATGGAAACATGATGGAATTTCTTATATTATATTGTTCCACTTTTTATGTGTTTTTATATCAACAATTTTTTATACTTTTGATAATTCTTCTTATGTAACTCCTCAATCAAATTTTTATTCAAAGGTGTTCATGGTGATATACTTCCTCGTAGTGAACACTGGTAACATGGGAGATTTGGGGGGGCGTCAATTGTCACTGGAACTCAATCTTAGTTTTTTAAACATTGAAGTTAAAATCAGTTAGAAATATGTAATATTTCATTAATTAACAAACTATTTACTATTTGTTGTTGACCAGCAGAGATAACGGGGGTATGTGAGCTTTGCTCACTTCTTTCTTGTTAATACAACTTCCATTTAGATTGAGACATATGTTTCACGCTAGAAATATATTTTGTATTTTAACACAATGTAATGACGTAAAATCAAATGACAAATGTTTTTTTTATATTCCCAAGGAACGACCACGCAACCTTTGTGTCTGTAGCCCAGTGTCTGTAGCCCACTAGGTTTCAGTTTGATCAAACGCAATGCTTTTAATAATATCTTTTTCAACTACTGTAAGCCAACAACAGATATTTTACACCTATTTCCAAAGTTTCATGGAAAGTATGTTTGAAACATAAAAATGTTGATAAATGTTGTTTTATGTTTCTTTTCCGGTTAGATAAAACACTTCCCCATGTGTTTATATATTTAAAACCTTTATCCTTGGGATAAAACCTGACACCCCTCAGTTTTATCCCGTGCATGCATCTATACTCAACAACAAAAGTTCCTGTGACATCAATATTTTAGTGTATTTTTCAAACAAGTAACAACCACTCAGAAAAACAACAAAATTACGCAATTATTCAGCATTACGAAATGCCACGATTGTCCATAAATGAGCATCTGTGAGCCATTGGTATGCTTGAAGCAGGATCGAGTCAACGTGATGTTGCAAGACAATTTAACGTCCACAGAAACACCATTTGGTGTTTATGGCAACGTTGGCAACAGACGAATGCAGTCAGAGACCATCCTCGGAGTGGCAGGCCACGCGTAACCAATAATTGATAAGACAACTGGATTCGAACTACACGCCTACGAAGTCGATTCAGGCCAGCAACAGTGACTGCAAGAAGCATCCCTGGCCTTCGACGAATATCTTCACAAACCCTCACCTCAAACGTCGTCTCTGGGATTGTTGCCAGAAGGCCCGCCCGACGTCCCATTTTGACAGGAAACCACCGTCAAGCACATCTACAGTGGTGCAGATAGCGTCTTTGCTGGACGGCCATGCAGTGGGGACAAGTTCTATTCACTGATGAGTCTAGTTTTCACCTCAGCCACAGGGATGGACGGATTTGTGTGTACCGACGTCGAGGTGAACGTTATGTCAATCATTGTGTCATGGAAGAAGATCGGTTCGGGGGAGGCATCGTTATGGTATGGGGTGGGATTACAGCAAGACAGAGGACCCGTTTGATAGTGGTAGAGGGAAATCTCAATGGACAGCACTACCGCGACGAGAGCCCTGTTTTTCTACCATTTTTGCGTCGTCATGGCCCAGGCATTACCTTTCAGCATGACCACGCCCGGCCTCATATTGCGAAGTGGAAGGGGGATATAGGAATAGGTGCCGTCCGTCCGTCTGTCACATTTCGTTACCGGAGCAGATCTTGAAAACCATACCATATTTCTTCAACAAACTTGGCACATAGATAGGTCTAGTGGTGAACTGGTGCCTTTTGATAGTTTGGGATTTTTAAAAACAATATTTTTTGAGTTTCCATGACAACGACTTTGATTTAGACTGAAAATGGCAGTAGTCCTCGTTTCCGGAGCAGATCTTGAAAACCGTACCATATTTCTTCACCAAACTTGGCACATAGATAGGTCTAGTGGTGAACTGGTGCCTTTTGATAGTTTGGGATTTTTAAAAAAGTAATTTTTCGAGTTTCCATGGCAACGACTTTGATTTAGACTGAAAATGGCAGTAGTCCTCTTTTCCAGAGCAGATCTTGAAAACCGTACCATATTTCTTCACCAAACTTGGCACATAGATAGATCAACCTGTTCTTGATGCTGCGTAAAGATTCTTTTGCTTGTCTCATTCAAAGAAATGCCAGCTGATCACATTGAAGGAAAATGTCTTGTTCCTTATACTGTGTAGTGATCTGTTTGTGCAGGTGATATGAGCCGTGCTGAGCTTGACATGAACCTGAGCAAGTATGACATGAAGAGACTGGAGCTGTATGCCCAGAACATGGTGGACTATCACCTCATCATGGATCTTGTGCCAGTCATTGCAAAACTGGTGTTATTGGGTAAAGCCAAGATCCATCTGAGTGTAGTACAGTCAGTAAGTAACTCTTTACATTATATCTAAGACTTCATATTAGACTTAATTCACTTTGTCAGAAGGACCAAAAAAGTGGAGGGAGTCCTAAGTTGTTCTCAATCCGTGACATGTCAAATGTAAGGTAATGACATAGCCACATATCATAGTGGCAACAGCAGGAATAAGCGATGTGACAACTTGATACTTTTGTGTTTCAGGGTCTGTTGCTGGGTCTGGGTCTGCAGCATAAGACTGTGGCTGATCTAGAGAAGGAGTTCGAGTTACCTACAAGTCAACTCCTAGCACTATTTAATAAAGTCATCCGAAAAGTGTCCAAGGTATATCTGTGATTTCCATACCATGAAAACATTTGTTAACTTATGTTCATTGCAGATTCAGAAAAATCATTCCTTCTTTATAAGCAATATCCAATCTGGGGAGGTAGATTTGGTGGCTTACTTCAGGCTAGGAAAACTTGGGGTTCAGAATGTTGGGGTATGTCCATTATTCTAGTGTTATTGTCAGGGGGCTGCTTGATGTGATTACTCTAATTTGAGTTCTGACCCCGTCACAATAGATCAATTTGAGGTAAGCCGCCACCACAGTAGATCTAAGGTCAATCAAACTCGTCAGAACCAAAGATGTAAGAAAGGTTTTGGGTCTCTGGACAGTTCCAGGTATCCAATGTCATTTCTATATGTTGTTGGTTCAGACCGAAAGTTTGCTGTACAAAGCAAGTATCGTTTTCATTATGAGTTGATGACATTACGTTGGTCAACATTTTCATACAAGCAAAGTGTATGGCATCAGAAAAAAAGACTCTATTTAAGAGGTTTCTGTTGTGTATTACAGCTCTGTTCTATGGTGCTTTTGTCGTCAGCATTTATCCAGAAAATATTTGAATAGCATTGCTGACAGAAACATGTTTTAAATGACTGTCCTCGTTGACATTTTAAGCTGTCGTCTGTATATCCAGGTGAGCAACACTGCTGTGGCACTATTTTTTGTGTGATTTACTAATATGCTACATACACCAGTAGTACCGGACAGTAGACATTAAGTTCAATTATTTGCTGCAAGCTTATAGGGAATTGCTTCTGAAAAAATAATTTGTGGAGCACAAACATACAAATATGAAAAACATGATTTCTTGTTAACTCTACAAAATGATGAAAGATGAAATATTTAAAGCAAAGATACATGTATTTGAAAACAAACATTAGAGTTATCAACATTTTGGCATAAGCCTTGGGGCTAGGCTTGGTTGTTTATGTGCAAGGAGACTTAACTTAATATATATATGTTTGCTTATGAAATTTGTAAGAAAATCATGATATTTTTACAAAAAATTAAAATCAAATTGGGGCAATTGGGTCTGCTTTTAGAAAAAAACACTGTGAACCTGGAATTGCCGAGTGATGCGACCTGGCTTCGAGTGTAACAGGAGGGAGTGTAAGGCAGGACATGGACCTGGCTTAATGTGTTATCAGGAGGGAGCATAAGGCAGGACATGGACCTGGCTTAGTGTGTATCAGGAGGGAGCATAAGGCAGGACATGGACCTGGCTTAATGTGTATCAGGAGGGAGCATAAGGCAGGACATGGACCTGGCTTAGTGTGTATCAGGAGGGAGCATAAGGCAGGACATGGACCTAGCTTAGTGTGTATCAGGAGGGAGCATAAGGCAGGACATGGACCTGGCTTAATGTGTATCAGGGGGGAATGTAAGGCAGGACATGGACCTGGCTTAATGTGTATCAGGGGGGAATGTAAGGCAGGACATGGACCTGGCTTAATGTGTATCAGGGGGGAATGTAAGGCAGGACATGGACCTGGCTTCGAGTGTAACAGGAGGGAATGTAAGGCAGGACATGGACCTGGCTTAATGTGTTATCAGGAGGGAGCATAAGGCAGGACATGGACCTGGCTTAATGTGTTATCAGGAGGGAGTGTTAGGCAGGACATGGACCTGGCTTAATGTGTATCAGGAGGAAGTGTAAGGCAGGACCTGGACCTGGCTTAGTGTGTATCAGGAGGGAGTGTTAGGCAGGACATGGACCTGGCTTAATGTGTATCAGGAGGAAGTGTAAGGCAGGACATGGACCTGGCTTAGTGTGTATCAGGAGGGAGTGTTAGGCAGAACATGGACCTGGCTTAGTGTGTATCAGGAGGGAGTGTTAGGCAGAACATGGACCTGCCTTAGTGTGTATCAGGAGGGAGTGTTAGGCAGAACATGGACCTGGCTCAGTGTGTATCAGGAGGAAGTATTAGGCAGGACATGAACCTGCCTTAGTGTGTATCAGGAGGGAGTGTTAGGCAGAACATGGACCTGGCTTAGTGTGTATCAGGAGGGAGTGTTAGGCAGAACATGGACCTGGCTTAGTGTGTATCATGAAGGAGTGTTAGGCAGAACATGGACCTGCCTTAGTGTGTATCAGGAGGGAGTGTTAGGCAGAACATCGACCTGCCTTAGTGTGTATCAAGAGGGAGTGTTAGGCAGAACATGGACCTGGCTTAGTGTGTATCAGGAGGGAGTGTTAGGCAGAACATGGACCTGGCTTAGTGTGTATCAGGAGGGAGTGTTAGGCAGGACATGTACCTGGCTTAGTGTGTATCAGGAGGAAGTGTAAGGCAGGACATAGACCTAGCTTTGTTTGTAACAGGCGGGCGTGTAAGGCAGAACATGGACCTGCCTTAGTGTGTATCAGGAGGGAGTGTTAGGCAGAACATGGACATGGCTTAGTGTGTATCAGGAGGGAGTGTTAGGTAGGACATGTACCTGGCTTAGTGTGTATCAGAAGGAAGTGTAAGGCAGGACATGGACCTAGCTTAGTGTGTATCAGGAGGGAGTGTAAGGCAGGACATGGACCTGGCTTAGTGTGTTATCAGGAGGAAGGGTAAGGCAGGACATGGACCTGCCTTAGTGTGTATCAGGAGGGAGTGTTAGGCAGAACATGGACCTGGCTTAGTGTGTATCAGTGGGGAATGTAAGGCAGAACATGGACCTGGCTTAGTGTGTATTAGGAGGGAGTGTTAGGTAGGACATGTACCTGGCTTAGTGTGTATCAGGAGGAAGTGTAAGGCAGGACATGGACCTAGCTTAGTGTGTATCAGGAGGGAGTGTAAGGCAGGACATGGACCTGGCTTAGTGTGTTATCAGGAGGAAGGGTAAGGCAGGACATGGACCTGCCTTAGTGTGTATCAGGAGGGAGTGTTAGGCAGAACATGGACATGGCTTAGTGTGTATCAGGAGGGAGTGTTAGGTAGGACATGTACCTGGCTTAGTGTGTATCAGGAGGAAGTGTAAGGCAGGACATGGACCTGGCTTAGTGGGTATCAGGAGGGAGTGTAAGGCAGGACATGGACCTGCCTTAGTGTGTATCAGGAGGAAGTGTTAGGCAGGACATGGACCTGGCTTAATGTGTATCAGGAGGGAGTGTTAGGCAGAACATGGACCTGCCTTAGTGTGTATCAGGAGGAAGTATTAGGCAGGACATGAACCTGCCTTAGTGTGTATCAGGAGGGAGTGTTAGGCAGAACATGGACCTGGCTTAGTGTGTATCATGAAGGAGTGTTAGGCAGAACATGGACCTGCCTTAGTGTGTATCAGGAGGGAGTGTTAGGCAGAACATGGACCTGGCTTAGTGTGTAACAGGAGGGAGTGTTAGGCAGAACATGGACCTGGCTTAGTGTGTATCAGGAGGAAGTATTAGGCAGAACATGGACCTGGCTTAGTGTGTATCAGGAGGGAGTGTTAGGCAGAACATGGACCTGGCTTAGTGTGTATCATGAAGGAGTGTTAGGCAGAACATGGACCTGCCTTAGTGTGTATCAGGAGGGAGTGTTAGGCAGAACATGGACCTGGCTTAGTGTGTATCAGGAGGGAGTGTTAGGCAGAACATGGACCTGGCTTAGTGTGTATCAGGAGGGAGTGTTAGGCAGAACATGGACCTGCCTTAGTGTGTATCAGGAGGGAGTGTTAGGCAGGACATGTACCTGGCTTAGTGTGTATCAGGAGGAAGTGTAAGGCAGGACATGGACCTAGCTTTGTTTGTAACAGGCGGGCGTGTAAGGCAGAACATGGACCTGCCTTAGTGTGTATCAGGAGGGAGTGTTAGGCAGAACATGGACATGGCTTAGTGTGTATCAGGAGGGAGTGTTAGGCAGAACATGGACCTGGCTTAGTGTGTATCATGAAGGAGTGTTAGGCAGAACATGGACCTGCCTTAGTGTGTATCAGGAGGGAGTGTTAGGCAGAACATGGACCTGGCTTAGTGTGTATCAGGAGGGAGTGTTAGGCAGAACATGGACCTGGCTTAGTGTGTATCAGGAGGGAGTGTTAGGCAGAACATGGACCTGCCTTAGTGTGTATCAGGAGGGAGTGTTAGGCAGGACATGTACCTGGCTTAGTGTGTATCAGGAGGAAGTGTAAGGCAGGACATGGACCTAGCTTTGTTTGTAACAGGCGGGCGTGTAAGGCAGAACATGGACCTGCCTTAGTGTGTATCAGGAGGGAGTGTTAGGCAGAACATGGACATGGCTTAGTGTGTATCAGGAGGGAGTGTTAGGCAGAACATGTACCTGGCTTAGTGTGTTATCAGGAGGGAGTGTTAGGTAGGACATGTACCTGGCTTAGTGTGTATCAGAAGGAAGTGTAAGGCAGGACATGGACCTAGCATAGTGTGTATCAGGAGGGAGTGTAAGGCAGGACATGGACCTGGCTTAGTGTGTTATCAGGAGGAAGGGTAAGGCAGGACATGGACCTGCCTTAGTGTGTATCAGGAGGGAGTGTTAGGCAGAACATGGACCTGGCTTAGTGTGTATCAGGGGGGAATGTAAGGCAGAACATGTACCTGGCTTAGTGTGTATCAGGAGGGAGTGTTAGGCAGGACATGGAACTGGCTTAGTGTGTATCAGGAGGGAGTGTTAGGCAGAACATGGACCTGCCTTAGTGTGTAACAGGAGGGAGTGTTAGGTAGGACATGTACCTGGCTTAGTGTGTATCAGGAGGAAGTGTAAGGCAGGACATGGACCTAGCTTAGTGTGTATCAGGAGGGAGTGTAAGGCAGGACATGGACCTGCCTTAGTGTGTATCAGGAGGAAGTGTTAGGCAGGACATGGACCTGGCTTAGTGTGTAACAGGAGGGAGTGTTAGGTAGGACATGTACCTGGCTTAGTGTGTATCAGGAGGAAGTGTAAGGCAGGACATGGACCTAGCTTAGTGTGTATCAGGAGGGAGTGTAAGGCAGGACATGGACCTGCCTTAGTGTGTATCAGGAGGAAGTGTTAGGCAGGACATGGACCTGGCTTAATGTGTATCAGGAGGGAGTGTTAGGCAGAACATGGACCTGGCTTAGTGTGTATCAGGAGGGTGTGTTAGGCAGGACATGGACCTGCCTTAGTGTGTATCGTGAGGGAGTGTTAGGCAGAACATGGAACTGGCTTAGTGTGTATCAGGAGGGAGTGTTAGGCAGAACATGGACCTGCCTTAGTGTGTATCAGGAGGGAGTGTTAGGCAGAACATGGACCTGGCTTAGTGTGTATCAGGAGGGAGTGTTAGGCAGGACATGTACCTGGCTTAGTGTGTATCAGGAGGGAGTGTTAGGCAGAACATGGACCTGGCTTAGTGTGTATCAGGAGGGAGTGTTAGGCAGAACATGGACCTGCCTTAGTGTGTATCAGGGGGGAGCGTAAGGCAGAACATGGACCTGGCTTAGTGTGTATCAGGAGGGAGTGTTAGGTAGGACATGAACCTGCCTTAGTGTGTATCAGGAGGGAGTGTTAGGCAGAACATGGACCTGGCTTAGTGTGTATCAGGAGGGAGTGTTAGGCAGAACATGGACCTGGCTTAGTGTGTATCATGAAGGAGTGTTAGGCAGAACATGGACCTGCCTTAGTGTGTATCAGGAGGGAGTGTTAGGCAGAACATGGACCTGCCTTAGTGTGTATCAGGAGGGAGTGTTAGGCAGAACATGGACCTGGCTTAGTGTGTATCAGGAGGGAGTGTTAGGCAGAACATGGACCTGGCTTAGTGTGTATCAGGAGGGAGTGTTAGGCAGGACATGTAACTGGCTTAGTGTGTATCAGGAGGAAGTGTAAGGCAGGACATAGACCTAGCTTTGTTTGTAACAGGCGGGCGTGTAAGGCAGAACATGGAATTGCCTTAGTGTGTATCAGGAGGGAGTGTTAGGCAGAACATGGACATGGCTTAGTGTGTATCAGGAGGGAGTGTTAGGTAGGACATGTACCTGGCTTAGTGTGTATCAGAAGGAAGTGTAAGGCAGGTCATGGACCTAGCTTAGTGTGTATCAGGAGGGAGTGTAAGGCAGGACATGGACCTGGCTTAGTGTGTTATCAGGAGGAAGGGTAAGGCAGGACATGGACCTGCCTTAGTGTGTATCAGGAGGGAGTGTTAGGCAGAACATGGACCTGGCTTAGTGTGTATCAGGGGGGAATGTAAGGCAGAACATGGACCTGGCTTAGTGTGTATCAGGAGGGAGTGTTAGGCAGAACATGGACCTGGCTTAGTGTGTATCAGGGGGGAGTGTTAGGCAGAACATGGACCTGGCTTAGTGTGTATCAGGGGGGAGTGTTAGGCAGAATATGGACCTGGATTAGTGTGTTATCAGGGGGGAGTGTTAGGCAGAACATGGACCTGGCTTAGTGTGTATCAGGAGGGAGTGTTAGGCAGAATATGGACCTGGATTAGTGTGTTATCAGGGGGGAGTGTTAGGCAGGACATGGACCTGGATTAGTGTGTATCAGGGGGGAGTGTTAGGCAGGACATGGACCTGCCTTAATGTGTATCAGGGGGGAGCGTAAGGCAGAACATGGACCTGGCTTAGTGTGTATCAGGAGGAAGTGTAAGGCAGGACATGGACCTGCCTAAGTGTGTATCAGGAGGAAGTGTTAGGCAGAACATAGACCTGGCTTAGTGTGTATCAGGGGGGAGCGTAAGGCAGGACATGTACCTGGCTTAGTATGTATCAGGAGGAAGTGTTAGGGAGAACATGGACCTGGCTTAGTGTGTTATCAGGAGGGAGCATAAGGCAGGACATGGACCTGGCTAAGTGTGTATCAGGAGGGAGCATAAGGCAGGACATGGACCTGGCTTAGTGTGTATCAGGAGGAAGTGTTAGGCAGGACATGGACCTGGCTTAGTGTGTATCAGGGGGGAGCGTAAGGCAGAACATGGACCTGGCTTAGTGTGTATCAGGAGGAAGTGTTAGGCAGAACATGGACCTGGCTTAGTGTGTATCAGGGGGGAGCGTAAGGCAGAACATGGACCTGGCTTAGTGTGTATCAGGAGGAAGTGTTAGGCAGAACATGGACCTGGCTTAGTGTGTTATCAGGAGGGAGCATAAGGCAGGACATGGACCTGGCTAAGTGTGTATCAGGAGGGAGCATAAGGTAGGACATGGACCTGGCTTAGTGTGTATCAGGAGGAAGTGTTAGGCAGGACATGGACCTGGCTTAGTGTGTATCAGGAGGAAGTGTTAGGCAGGACATGGACCTGGCTTAGTGTGTTATCAGGGGGGAGTGTAAGGCAGGACATGGACCTGGCTTAGTGTGTATCAGGAGGAAGTGTTAGGCAGGACATGGACCTGGCTTAGTGTGTTATCAGGAGGAAGTGTAAGGCAGGACATGGACCTGGCTTAGTGTGTATTGGGAGGAAGTGTTAGGCAGGACATGGACCTGGCTTAGTGTGTATCAGGAGGGAGTGTTAGGCAGAACATGGACCTGGCTTAGTGTGTTATCAGGAGGAAGTGTAAGGCAGGACATGGACCTGGCTTAGTGTGTATTGGGAGGAAGTGTTAGGCAGGACATGGACCTACAGATGGTGTAAGACCTGTATCAGGTATAAGAAATAGTTTTGACTGACTGTGTGTGAAGAAGACATAAGGAAGTTATTCATTGGACAGGGGCATGGAACTGACTGGTAGTATGTGAAGTAAGAAATGCACATATTCCTGTTTGTGCATACCTTATTTTGTTGCAAAAATGATAATATTGTATATTTTCAGTGTTTTACTGAGATTGTGGAAGCTGACATAGAAAGTCTCATGGCAGAGGAGAAGGATGTCAAGATGACCCCAGTAAGCCAGACATTGGAAGATGATCTGGTGAGTACAGGAAGAATGTGTAGGGGCAAACATTGAAGGACAATGTATTGGTTGGGTACAGGAGCTTTGTAGAAGCAGACATTGAAGGACTATCTAGTGGGTACAGGAGCTTTGTAGAGGCAGACATTAAAGGACTATCTCGTTGGTACAGAGTGATTGTAGGGGCAGACATTAAAGGACTATCTCGTTGGTACAGAGTGATTGTAGGGGCAGACATTAAAGGACTATCTCGTTGGTACAGAGTGATTGTAGGGGCAGACATTAAAGGACTATCTCGTTGGTACATGGGAATTGTAGGGGCAGACATTGAAGGACTCTCTAGTGGGTACAGGAAGAATGTGTAGGGGCAGACATTGAAGGACTATCTAGTGGGTACAGGAATAATGTGTAGAGGCAGACATTGAAGGACTATCTAGTGGGTACAGGAATAATGTGTATGGGGAGATATTGAAGGACTCTCTAGTGGGTTGAGGAAGAATGTGTAGAGGGAGACATTGAAGGTCTCTCTAGTGGGTTGAGGAAGAATGTGTAGGGGCAGACATTGAAGGACTCTCTAGTGGGTACAGGAATAATGTGTATTGGGAGACATTGAAGGACTCTCTAGTTGGTACAGGAATAATGTGTAGGGGCAGACATTGAAGGACTCTCTAGTGTGTATAGGAATAATGTGTAGAGGCAGACATTGAAGGACTATCTAATGGGTACAGGAATAATGTGTAGAGGCAGACATTGAAGGACTATCTAGTGGGTACAGGAATAATGTGTATTGGGAGACATTGAAGGACTCTCTAGTGGGTACAGGAATAATGTGTAGGGGCAGACATTGAAGGACTCTCTAGTGTGTATAGGAAGAATTGTAGAGGCAGACATTGAAGGACTCTCTAGTGGGTACAGGAATAATGTGTAAAGGCAGACATTGAAGGACTCTCTAATGGGTACAGGAATAATGTGTAGAGGCAGACATTGAAGGACTCTCTAGTGGGTACAGGAATAATGTGTATGGGGATATATTGAAGGACTCTCTAGTGGGTTGAGGAAGAATGTGTAGTGGGTACAGGAAGAATGTGTAGAGGCAGACATTGAAGGACTCTCTAGTGGGTACAGGAATAATGTGTATGGGGAGATATTGAAAGAATCTCTAGTGGGTTGAGGAAGAATGTGTAGAGGCAGACATTGAAGGACTATCTAGTGGGTACAGGAATAATGTGTAGAGGCAGACATTCAAGGACTATATAGTGGGTACAGGAATAATGTGTATGGGGAGATATTGAAGGACTCTCTAGAGGGTTGAGGAAGAATGTGTAGAGGCAGACATTGAAGGACTCTCTAGTGGGTACGGGAATAATGTGTAGGGGCAGACATTGAAGGACTCTCTAGTGGGTACAGGAAAAATGTGTAGAGGCAGACATTGAAGGACTCTCTAGTGGGTACAGGAATAATGTGTAGAGGCAGACATTGAAGGACTCTCTAGTGGGTACAGGTAGAATGTGTAGGGGCAGACATTGAAGGACTCTCTAGTGCGTACAGGAAGAATGTGTAAAGGCAGACATTGAAGGACTCTCTAGTGGGTACAGGAAGAATGTGTAGGGGCAGACATTGAAGGACTCTCTAGTGTGTATAGGAAGAATGTGTAGAGGCAGACATTGAAGGACTCTCTAGTGGGTACAGGAAGAATTTGTAAAGGCAGACATTGAAGGACTCTCTAGTGGGTACAGGAATAATGTGTAGTGGGTACAGGAATAATGTGTATTGGGAGATATTGAAGGAATCTCTAGTGGGTTGAGGAAGAATGTGTAGAGGCAGACATTGAAGGACTATCTAGTGGGTACAGGAATAATGTGTAGAGGCAGACATTGAAGGACTATCTAGTGGGTACAGGAATAATGTGTATGGGGAGATATTGAAGGACTCTCTAGAGGGTTTAGGAAGAATGTGTAGATGTAGACATTGAAGGACTCTCTAGTGGGTACAGGAATAATGTGTAGGGGCAGACATTGAAGGACTCTCTAGTGCGTACAGGAATAATGTGTAGGGGCAGACATTGAAGGACTATCTAGTGGGTACAGGAATAATGTGTCGAGGCAGACATTGAAGGACTATCTAGTGCGTACAGGAATAATGTGTAGGGGCAGACATTGAAGGACTATCTAGTGCGTACAGGAAGAATGTGTAGAGGCAAACATTGAAGGACTCTCTAGTGGGTTGAGGAAGAATGTGTAGAGGCAGACATTGAAGGACTCTCTAGTGGGTTGAGGAAGAATGTGTAGAGGCAGACATTGAAGGACTCTCTAGTGGGTACAGGAAGAATGTGTAGAGGCAGACATTGAAGGACTATCTAGTGCGTACAGGAAGAATGTGTAGGGGCAGATATTGTGGGTACAGGGGATTGTTTCGGCCATAAGGGTAAGGAAAAAATGACAGTGATGGCTTGGCCATTGGCTTGCAGTGCGGCTGAGGGGTGCGTTCAGGTGAGATGTTTTTCTCTGTTCTTGGGCATAAATGATGCTTTTACCCTTGAAAATACAAACTGAAAGAGAATGTAATATTTGATAAGATGGTGCCTTTATCAATTTCACAAGTATATGGCAAATAACTTTACCTTTACCTAAACGATAAAATAGATTTCATTGTGAACAATTCAGTAAAATACATTTATAAAATGTGTCGATTGTTGCAATTTGGGATCACTTGAAACCAGTTTTGCCTTGAAAAGTATTTGGGATACTTGGGCCGCAGTCTGACCGCCCTCTTATGGGCACATGAGTACTTAATTTGTAGCGAGATTCAAGGACCTAGTGATGCTGTTGGATGAACCTAAAGATAGTTGTATATTTAAACTAACATTGTATTGACACTGTTCTCAGAAAGAGGCATCAGACAAGGTGAAGGAGAAGCAGAAACAAGATAAGGCTATCTTGACTAACCTTGACCTTGCCCAGTATGCTGTCAAGGGGTCGGAAGATGACTGGAAGGTGGCTCTGACCAATCAGACAAAGGCTGGCATCATCAGTGTTAAAGGGTTAGTTTTTCACAGTCAATCTAGACCTATGGGTGGCCATCCTGTCCAAAAATACTAAGTTGAAATAAAGGACAAATGTATGCAATAGTAATCAAATGTTACAAATAAAGAATGAATGTTACAAATAAAGGTCATTATTAACATACGAAGAATGAATATTAAAAATACAAAATGATACCAATGAACAACTCGCAAACAAAAGACGTCAAATGTAAAGAAAGGACAATGTGTACCCTAAGAACATCGGTGGACAAAGAGGAAACGAAACTGCTAAGGGACAACATTGAAGATCAAGGTTACTCCGCATGAAACACCTTTTTCTTGTTCAGACTTTTTTTTTTACAGTATGTGAAAGTAACTTCTTGTAACACTCCATGTGCATTCAATTTGAAATGTTCTGACAGCTCTTTGCAAAGATTTAGGGTAAAGGTTATTTGATCAAAAGTGCTTATAGGGTTCTGTTTCAAAATTGTACAGCTTAGGTCATTTGGGCCAAACCAAAAGTGATGTTATTAAACCAGAATGCTTATAGTTTTGGTATTGTTGTAGCTTGATATATAGGACTGCATTTGGCATTTGTTTAAGTACCCATATCAGAATTATATGTAGTTTTAAATGGAAATGCTTATTACTTGAACGTTAAAGTAGCTACAGGCATAGGACAGGCATGTGTGTTAACATTCTACTGCATGGAACATGCATTCCCAAACCAGAAGTGCTGATGACTCTCTTATTATGGTTGCTATAGGTGTAGGTCTACATTTTACTACAGTAGACAACATTAGGGATGAAAGATGAATTTTGCTGAGGTCAGCTGTCACTTGATTTGGTCAAGGCAAAAAAGTTTATTGGGAAGTTTTGGAGCTTTCAGGAAATGCTGGCAAGGGGATGCTTCTGGGTTTGTATGTTATGCAAACTTCCAGTTCATATAGGAAATGTTTAAGTGTATTTATACATTGCAGGAAGTTGGAGCAGAAGAGGAAGATAGCAGTATCCCCTACGGAGCAAGAGACAGTGATGAAATATAAGAAACACAGGAAGGTGAAACAGAAGACATGAGCAAGCATGTGGTCTTGGTGGTCTCTGATGTTTGTTGCCAGATGTTGTGTCCTCCAACATGTGTATTATGTAGACACTCTAGTTTTGCTGATGTCAGGTTGACCATGTTGATGTCACTTAAATCATTTGTATAAAACTGACAAGGAAAAGAAATGTTACCAACCAGCATAGTTTCTTCCTGTAGACAGAACAGGACCAATATCAAGGAAGATATTTGTATTGTCTAAAGACATGAATTATCAACATCATTTTGGGGTGGGTGGGGGGTGGCCCAGTCGTCTTAGGCGCTGCAAGTTGCTGTGCAGAGTTGCGTCCATTTTGCACACCAGAAGCCTATGATCGTGGGTTTGAATCCCGGTTCGCCCCGACTATGTTTCTAGGTTTGTCGGCACCATACCCGTGCCTTACGGTTTCACTGAAGTGGTAAACATCTAAGAAGTCCATCGCTTCGGGCTTTACTCCCACATTAAGCTGTTATGCCCTGATATGACTGGAATACTGTTAAAAGCAATGCTAAACCCCACTCACTCACTCACTCACTCACTCACTCAATATCATTTTGCCATTAATGAGAACAAAAATTGTGGTATATTATGAAGGTAATTTTGTCCAGTTTAACTTCATTTTCAGTAATCAAGACTTAAATCAGCACATGAAATTCCCTTTGATCCTTCACAATGACAACTTTGTCAGTCAGTTTGGGCATGCTCACATCAATGCACACCATAACTTGACAATGGGCAGAAGATGTGAGACATTTGATCAAAAGAAATGGATTGGACACCAGTCTTCTCAGAGGAACTGTGCTGATGGATCCCTGTGATAAGGGCAAACCTGTCATGCTCAAATTTGACAGTCAAGGTGATCCCACATGTGAGATTGGTAAGATCGTGCTTGGCCAAGGCAAGACATTCATGTTATTGGCTTGCATAAAATCTCCTCTTACAATCGTGTTGTATGGGGCCTCATGTTATCTTGCTGAAACAGGATTTGAACGGTGGTGAACTTGGTCAATAAAATGTTTTCTTCCAAAATCCCCAGACATATCTTCATTTGGCTATGTGGGTGTCGGTGTGAATGTTTGGCCTCACTGTAAGCTCTGATATTGTACGGAAAGTTTTCTGGACACTGTCCAGCAACTGTCAAGATGGCCAATCCCAAGTGTCACAGTTTTTGTAGGGGGAGTGAGGAGGGTAACAACTCTGCCACCCCTAAGCCTGTCTGTCCAGTCCCTGTAGTGTGCCATTAGCCTCGTCACTCATTATGCTACAGCCAAAACTCCTTAAGACTTGGTCATGCATTGCACCTTGAAATGTCATACCAACAGCTTGGCATGTTATTTGTCAGTTTGTTGGTTGGTTGTTTAATGCCTCACTCAGCAATATTCCAGCTATATGGCAGCAGTCTGTAAATAATCAAGTCTGGACCCGACAATCCAGTGATTGACATCATGAGCATCGATCCACACAGATAGGATACGATGCAATGCATCAACCAAGTCAGCAAGCATGACGATCCCGATCCCGTTAGTCGCCACTTACGACAAACATAGTCGCATGTATCAAGGGCACTACTCAGCAGATTCTTTTGATTGTGAATGGGCAATTTTGATCTTCTATGTAACACTATTCCTGACCCAGTGTGTCATAATTGCAGTTTGGTAACATTTCTTTTGCTCGTAAGTTTATTTCAAAGAATGCTTGCAGCAATTTTATACAATTTAACATGAATAAACTGTCTCTATAAGTTATAGTATAAAATGTTGATCACATACATTTTGTTGCTTCAGTAGAGATCCATGTACCTAATACTGAAAATCAAGACAGAATCCCTGTACCAAAAGGTCATTGTACAGCCATTCACAGGAGTAAAAAAATGAAGAACTGAGACATTTGTTTGTTGAACATGATTGTTAAAAAGTCTGGAAAAGATGCATCAGTTACTTACCGGTCAATGTTACATCACAATACATCGAGTTAAGGGGGCTCTGATGATTCTCTGGGAACGGGATGTTGCCTTTAATAATGTTTCCCCCCCCCCCCCCCCCCCCCCCCTTGGATACAGGGATGATATCTGGAAATCGAATAATGCTGCACCAACCATCAGCGTATCTGTCGCTTGATTTGTTGACACTATTTTGTCACACAAACGATTTTAACCCTAACATTGCTTATCAAAATGTATATTAGTTTATTTACAAATTGACTTGATAATCTGTCCATTTTATTATGAATTCCAAACATTTTGATTTCATCACCCAGTGACTGAAAATGATTGGATTAAAAAACCGAAAGTAAGTTGTTTTTTTTATTCTTTGGCTTCTAATCCTAGCAATATTAGTCTATTGTGATGTTTTAAGCCATTTTAACTTCCTTCTAATTTTTTGTCAAATCTGTTATATAAATGGACAGGTTTTTTTGTAAACTGAAAATTCATAAAATGCCTAAGTGAATCACATTTTACATACTGACTATGACATATATGCGCCTACAAACAGAAAGGCTTGTGAAAAGGACTCGCATAGGAGAAGTGATAAATGATAACATAGTGATTCTGTTCAATGCTATTGCAAATGAATGAAAACAAAATGCAAATATTGTAATTACAACTGAAAAAAGCTCTGCATACATTTAGGCTGTTACATTGTTGGAGGATTGTCAATATCCACATAAAGGAACAATATCCCAAACATCTGCAGCTGTACAAAGAAACTTCTTCATTGTCATATGTGTCTATGACTATCTAATGTTTTGAAATATATTGTTTTTGGGATATTATAACATTCTTTTGTTTCTCAACTCATCACGAAAGTTTGTTTAGGTGTTTCATACAGGTGTCATGTCTCATTGGTCAGCTGAGATAGCATGAGTGACAACTATTTTCGAGAGAGGTGAAATGGTGTGCTTCTACTAGTCCAGACTAAGGTCGATTTTTATGGTGCTAGCCCACTGAGATACCATGCGACAGTTTAACATGAATACCCCACTCAGACACAGTATAGTGACTACAAGCCGACCAGTCCTTGTTTTAGCCCCTTAATGCCGAGCACCTGGCAGCTTAACAAGTAACATTTTTTAACGTCTTATTATGATGCGGCCGGACCAATCCCCTAACCTTCCTCTCTCCGGAAGGTCGGTATACCACTAGGACCCACGGTGTGTTTGTTGTTTAACGGTGTGTTTGTTGTTTAACGCCGCACTCAGCAATATTCCAGCTATATATGACGGCGGTCTGTAAATAATTGAGCCTGGACCAGACAATCCAGTGATTAATAACCTGAGCATCAGTCCATGCAATTGGGATATGATGACATGCAACAACCAAGTCAGCGAGCCTGACCACCTGATCCTGTTGGTTGCCACTCAGCGTTAGAAATTGGCACAATAGTCCTGTAGTCCTTACCAAACTGTCCAACAGTAAAGGTATCCTAAGGACTAGTAGAAATTGGCCCATTTTAAGGGTTTTGCTATGTGTTATCATTATAAGGACTAGTGGACAAAAACTGTTAGTTTCTAACCCTGCCTCTTACGACAAGCATATAGTCACCTTTTACAGCAAGCATGGGTTTCTGAAGACCTATTCTACCCTGGATTACACTAAGGCGTTCACAAAATGTTGACCTTAGTTCTACATTTACAAGGCAAAATATTGACAAATGATCCTTTATGGAGTTAATATAGCTTTATATTCTCTGGATATGTTCCGTTATAAACTGTAAATTTCTCACTTAACTCGCCAATCGAGAACGTTCGTTCCAGAGCGCCATTTTTGTTACTTGACCAGTGTGTATTCCTTTCGCTTCCAACCGCGGTCTCGAAGTAGATCTATCTATTCAAGAAAAGTTTTTGTTAAAGTTGATTTTGTATATAATCATATCTACATGTATGATACAGAATTTTCGCGACCCTAAATATTGTTGTTGCTTTTGTTTATATTTTTTATGATTTTTCAAACACGAGACTACTTTTTAATCGCAAATATAAGGGTTGTTGACCCGTCCCTGTGTGTTAGGTAGGGAGAATTTACGCTTCAAGGTTTTACATTTGTAATGAAATAATTTAGTTTTCTGGTAGACAACTGTAGAAAGAGTATATAATAAATAGGATATTCCACGTGACTCATGTTTTTTCATTTCGTGACTGCGTGGGGGAAGGGGAAGGAGAAGGAGATATTTTCACTCGTGACATTATCTCTTTTTCCTCTCATCACTCGATGAGAGAAACATGATATCACGATACACATTGTTCTACCATTACGTCATTTGTGGAGAATCAAACCTGCGCCCGCAACTTGTTGACGTGGACATAAATTGGACCTTATTTTTTAGAGGAAAATGTCTAGTGAGATGTTTTCCATAGATGTAGCTGGCAACCGCAGATGAACGAAATTGGCGAACGATCACTTTCAAAAGTAAGAGAGATATGACATGTGTTGGGTGAAAAGTTACATAGAATGGACGTGAAAATTGTGAGAAGATCCGGGAAATAACATACGTAACCCCACTGTTCATTAAATGGACTTGTGCGACACTGCCGAGGTCGGATTGTATTCAGGGAGTCATCATTATCCAAATACAGGTAAATATTTTTGAATCTTCTCACACACATTTGTTGACCAGATTTAAGTTTTCTTAATGGAGTCTTCTTATCATGTTCAAAGCAATTGTAGGCTAAGATAATTATAAACTTCAGTCGAAACTTGCAATTGGTCAGGACCAATCTTAAGTTACTAAGATTGTTGTAGCTCCTGAATAAACCTGAGAAATTGGCGTGCAAAACAGGGTCTGTTTCACATAAAGAATCTGCTTTACATTCAAACATTGCCTCTTCATTTTGTGAAACTGTATGATTCGAATCAACACTTCAACAACACGAGGAACGTAATACAGATTTAACATCAGAAATATCGTGAATTGCAATAGTTGACCATAGCTCAGAGTACCATCCCACCCGACTCAATGCTGAAAGAAGTGTAAAACAACATAACTTTTCGGACCCTTGAAGATCCAGGGTAGAATAGGTCTTCAGACACACATGCTTGCCGTAAGAGGCGACTAACGTGATCGGGTGGTCAGACTTGCTGACTTGTTTGAAGCATGTCATCGATCCCACTTACGTGGATCGATGCTCATGATATCAATCACTGTATTGTCTGGTCCAGACTCGATTATTTACAGACCGCAGTCACACAGCTGGAGTATTGCTGAATGCGTAGTTGAACAACCAAGCAACCAACATACCTTTTAGCTAATCAAGGGAAGGATAAATCCTAAAAGGAACAGGACATGGAATTCCCTGCAAAATCTATTGTACGAGACCCGTGAAGATTCCGGGGTAGAATAGGTCTTCAGCAACCCATGCTTGCCGTAAAAGGTGACTATGCTTGTCGTAAAAGGCGACTAACGGGATCGGGTGGTCAGGCTCCCTGACTTGGTTGATGCATGTCATCGATCCAAATTGCGTGGGTCGATGCTCATGATATTAATCACTGGATTGTCTGGTCCAGACTCGATTATTTACAGACCGCCGTCATATAGCTGGAATATTGCAGAGTGCAGCGTTAAACAACAAACCAACCAACTATTGTACGAGGGTTGATCAAAAAGTTCTAAGCCTGACTAACTTTCAACTATGGACCATAACAACGTGAACTAGTCAATGTAGTACATTGTTTGAGTAGTATATTACTGACAGCCGGTTGAACGTAATAGGTGTGCAGATATAGGATAGGACACAGAATGTAAAAGAACAAGCAGCGAGCAGTCATCAAGTTTTTGACTCCCCAAATTATTAATGACCGCACGTCACAAGTTTATTTGGATGAGTACCCTAGCTATTCCACTGTCAAACGTTATATTTAAGGCTGGGAGATCCCGAGTCAAAACGTCAATCCACGGAATGGCATCATTCCACCTCTCCGGCACCAAATAAATTCAAATCTTCAAGATCAGTGGAGAAAGTTATGGCCACTGTATTCTTGGATGCGAATGGCGTGATTTGCTTCATCGCCTGAGAGATTCTATCAAAGAAAAGCGTCGAGGAATGTCTACTACTTCATGACAATGTCTCCTCTCATAGCTCTCGACATGCAAAGACTGTTGTGCTACTTTGTGGCTTCGAAGAGCTTCCATACTAGTCAGACCTGGCACCAAGGGATTTCAACCTGTTTCCTAAACAGAAAGAATACCTTCGTGGAAAGCGCTATGACAACAACGATGACCTCCAAGCTGCCGTGAATGGGCTTTTCAGGATGGCTTCAGAAAACATCTTCCTGACTGGAATTAAGAAGCTTCACTATCGATATGGGAAGTGTATTGAAAAGCAGGCATGTTGTGTTGAAATATAAAATTAAAAAAACACTTCCACGTTTTTTTATTTTTTTTGTTAGGCTTAAAACGTTTTGACCATCCCTCGTAGTTTGGAAAATGGAACAATAACTAGCAATTCTAAAGAACTTCGCGTGTATTGATCACTAGAATCGTCTTTGACTCTTCACCGACCTTCATCTGATCACAAGCTTTCAACTTCAGAGAAGACTTGACTTCCTGTGAGCTTAGCAAATATGTGCACTGGTTTTGGCAGATGATATTTGTCAACTTCTGAAGCACACCAAAGTCCCCTGTGAATACTTGTTTGTGTTTTGTCCTGATGGAGAAGTGAACGAAAAATACAGACGTCTGTTGTCCGAAGAAGCATGGACGAGAAGAGTAGAATTACTTGTTCATCCCTAGTGACAAAGTTTCCTGTTCACAAAAACCACAGGAACGCCCCTCATCCTGTGGCTTTTGTTTTGTGTGTTTGTTCATGTGAGCGGGGGAATTAAAAACAAAGTTGAAAAAAATGGGTTGTGTTGTCTTTAGGATGTGGATGGACATGCACACCCGAGGA